ATATCTGCAGATTGAAATCTCCTGTTTCATTAATGCTGATTTTAAACAACGCGTTGCATCTCATGGGGTGAAGACAACAAGTTAAAGGCTGGGGGCAGTAGTGTCCCACCATCTTTAAACTTCACAGGCGCCATTGCATTTAACTAACAAGCATTAATCATAAATATGCAATATTCCCTGTAATAAAGATTCCTGATGGGAGATTTTCTCCTTGATTACACAAGATTATTACCTCCAAAGGACTCCTGACTGAGGGCAAGTTGCAAAAAATAGTCATTTCATTATTTCTAAAAAAGCCACATTGCATGATTCTTTTAAATTACAGCACATTTTCTGCACAAGTAACTTTAATGTACAATGTTTCCCTAACAATCATATATGGTCTTATTCATTTTGCACCAAATTGTAGTGAATTGAGTTTAGAATTGCAAAGTTTAAGATAAAATGGTCAATTTGTGACTATTGGAATTGAAAAAATCAAACCAGCTTGTTTATTTTAAAGTTTGCAATTCAGTTTTCAATTCACTACAATTCATTGTTAGTAAATAAGCCACACAATAAATCAGTCAACCAGCTACACATTGACACTTTTCTCTAAGCATACATGTATGTCAGGAAACCAGTTGAGCGCCTTTTTCCATTTTCAGACATAGATACCTGCAGGGTATTCACTGTAAACTCGGTTACAGTTTGGGGCAGTTTTAAACAAAATTTTGCATTTCAGCCTTCAGTTCACAGCCATTTACTAGTTAGTTAATAAACTGGGCTGTATTGATAATTTTCACACAGACAGACAGACCGACAGACAGACAGACAGACAGACAGATAGATCTATGTAATAGAATCTATGCAATCACCTGTATCATTTAGTAGAATTTTGATTTTATTTATTTTTTTAAACATTGGACGTTGGCTCATCATAGGGGTAGATATAATAAAGCTATTGAAAAGTGAAAAATAAAACCTACAAAAACAATACAACCATTTCCAAACACAGGCTACACAAACACCAGTCAGCTAGTTAGGAAGACATCAGACAAACACACCCCCTTATTACATAACCACATGTACAAACACCAATCTGTGCACCAACGTGACCATAGACTGTCTGTCATATTAATCTCTCTTTATCTCAAGCACAATAATGTACATTGAAAGATTCCAATACTGTGTGAGCATGTTAGGAGTTCCATAAAGTATAACAATACAAAAAAATTAAAAATAATAATAATAATAATCTTCTACAAGTAAGCAGCCATGGCAGTTAATGTGATTTATTCAAGAGGTTTGGCAAATAAATCGAACTCCTGGATAAAAAGTTCTACAAGTGGGAAATCACCATGGAAACCAATAGAACGTCTATGCTGATTGCTCCTCTTTCAGAACGCTGTGCCAGAATTGTTCTGTACACACAACCCTCTATTGTGGTACAAAACGATAGAGGTATAAATAAAAAGGGAACGTGTGGAATAATAAAATAACAGAGCATCCTGTTGCTCACATTGTAGAGGAGTGGTGGCCAAAAGCAACAATCTGTTTCAGAACTCCAAGGGTTATGGTACCCTCAGGACTGGCTAAGGATAGAGGGAGTTGTAGTCCTACCACAGCTTTGGGGTCTAACTTATCTCCACCCTTCTAATGGAGTATTGGAACTGATCTGGCTAAGCTCTGGATGCTTTGGACTACTTTTGCCATGGTGCTCAGACTCAGCCATCCAAATGGCTTTCTGTGAATGATAGGAGTGGCAGTCTAACAGCTGCCAGAAGATAGAGGGATAAGCTCCTAGCCTCCTCAGTCTGGCGCCCTGAGATTGCTAGGAGTTGCAGTTCAGACACAGTGATACAATGTGATGAAACAGAGGAAGCTGCCTTAGAGTGTTACCTGCTTTTCCATGTTCTCCTTGCCTCCACTGGCCACCATGGGTGCTGGGACCCTCTCACAGCTGCATCCTTCCAACATGTACATCCCAGAGGGTCTCCCACTCTGCTCGCTGTCGAAGTAGAAGAGGACATTCTGGAAGAGGGCGAACCACTTGTCGTGAAACCTGCTAGTCTCGGCCGCCTTCTTGCTGATGGTGCCCCTCTTGGTGCCCTCCTTGCGGGCCAGCAGGGACAGGTACAGAGCGTGTCCCTCGTTGCAGCGCATGCCCTTCTGCATCCTGACCTTCAGGGCATGCTGACCCCAGCACAGATGGCAGGGAAAGGGCACACCTGGGCACAGCAGGGACACCTCACCTACAGGAAGGCAGGCAGGCAGCAGAGTGACAGGGGGTGCCGACAGTGTGCAGGTCACCCAGCGTGTGCGCACTGAGCGTGTACATTGACATACAGATCAATAGGCAGCATGCAGCCAGGGGTAGGATACAATGTTACCCCTGGGGTCGTTTATACAATGTTACCCCCTGGGAGGGCAGGTTATACAATGTTACCCCTGGGGAGGGCAGTTTATACAATGTTACCCCCTGGGAGGGTAGGTTATACAATGTTACCCCTGGGAGGGTAGGATACAATGTTACCCCTGGGGTAATTTATACAATGTTACCCCCTGGGAGTGTAGTTTATACAATGTCACCCCCTGGGAGGGCAGGTTATACAATGTTACCCCCGGGGAAGGCAGTTTATACAATCTTACCCCCTGGAAGGGTAGGTTACACAATGTTACCCCTGGGGAGGGCAGGTTATACAATGTTACCCCCTGGGAGGGTAGGTTATACAATGTTAGCCCTGGGAGGGTAGGTTATACAATGTTACCCCTGGGGAAGGGCAGGTTATACAATGTTACCCCGGTGAGGGCAGTTTATACAATGTTACCCCTGGGGAGGGGCAGGTTATACAATGTTACCCCTGGGGAGGGGCAGGTTATACAATGTTACCCCGGTGAGGGCAGTTTATACAATGTTACCCCTGGGGAGGGTAGGTTATACAATGTTGCCCTTAAGAGGATAGTTTATACAAAGTTAACATTGAGAGAGGTAGTTTATACAATGTTACCCCTGGGGGAGGGTAGGTTATACAATGTTACCTCGGTGAGGGCAGTTTATACAATGTTACCCCTGGGGAGGGTAGGTTATACAATGTTACCCTTAAGAGGATAGTTTATACAAAGTTAACATTGAGAGAGGTAGTTTATACAATGTTACCAGTGGGGTTTAGTATACATAATATTATCCCAGGGGTTTTAAGTATATGATATTATTATAATATTACCTCAGGGTTTCAGTGTATATATAATATTATCCCATGGGTTTGATATATAAAATATCCCAGGGGTTCAGTATATATAATATTCCATGGGGTTTGAAATATATAATATTATCCTGGGATGTGAGTGCATTATGGTCCGGTGTTTAGGGCATGCACATAGCACATGGAAAGCACATTTACCTTTTTCACAGTGCATCTAGACCATGCTCGGCATGGGTACCACCCAGGGTGCAGAGAGTCTCTGGGGGAGTCACAGTGAGGGAGTCCATACAGGGCACAGTGCTGGCTGCAGGGAGAGCATGGGAGGCATCAGGCTCTGCTCACAGTGCTGCTGGTGGTGGTCGCTGAGAGTGGAGGGGGCGGGAGAGGGTGCAGGAGGAGAGAGAGCTGGATGTGGGTGCAGAGGGAAGTAATGTGATAGTGGGTGTAGTGTGGGTAGTGAGGCTGGGGAAGGTGCAGGGAGAGGAGTGAGATGGTGCAGGGGGTGGTGGGGGATAATGAGCAGGGGGAGTGTGGCGACAACGGTCTGAGTGAGGTGTGTGGGAGCAGGGGGAGTGAAGTTGGATGGGTGAGTGAGGTGAAAGAGGGTGCAGGGTGAGTGAGGTGAGACGGTGCAGGGTAGTGAGGTGAGACAGGGTGCAGGGTAGTGAGGTGAGAGAGGGTGCACGGTAGTGAGGTGAGACAGGGTGCAGGGTAGTGAGGTGAGACGGTGCAGGGTAGTGAGATGAGAGAGGGTGCAGGGTGAGTGAGGTGAGAGAGGGTGCAGGGTAGTGAGGTGAGAGAGGGTGCAGGGTAGTGAGGTGAGACAGGGTGCAGGGTAGTGAGGTGTGAGAGGGTGCAGGGTGAGTGAGGTGAGAGAGGGTGCAGGGTAGTGAGGTGAGAGAGGGTGAGGAGGGAGCAAGATTAGTGATTACAAGGGAATGAGGTAAGAGAGAGGGAGTATGTATGACTCGTGCAGGATAGAGAGAGCAGATAAATGGGCAGTATGGAGTTTGTGTCTCAGTCAGGTGGGAAAGTGTGAGTGAGGTGCAGGGAGATTCAGGGAAGAGAGGGGAGGGTGCTGGGAGTTAGTAAGGTAAGAGTGGGGCAGGTAGGTAGTAGTGGGTGCGGTGGGGCAGTAAAGTAAGGAGGGTGCAGGGGTACAAGGAGTTAGAAAGGTGTACAGAGAGTTAATAAGTTAAGAAAGGGGGCATCTGGTCCAATAATGCAGGAAGGGGTGCAGGGGGTCTAGTAATTTAGGAAGGGATACAGGGGGTCCAATAATGTAGGAAAGGGTACGGGGGTCCAGTAATGTAGGAAAGGGTACAGGGGGTCCAGTAATATAGGAAGGGGTGCAGGGGGTCCAGTAATGTAGGAAAGGGTACAGGGAGTTATTAAGTTAAGAAGGGGTGCAGAGGGTCCAGGTATATGTTACAGGATGTTTGGCTTGGGAGCTCCATGTAATGGCAACCTGTTCCTCGGATAAACTGGGGTCTCAGTGCTGCCGGTAAGGTGGGCTTTGTATTTCTTTATTAAAAAGAGCCCAGTTGTCAGGGCAGGCGACTAACTCCTCCAGCTCCGTGCCATTGATGTCCTTTTTATAGGGGTCTAACAGCTCTTCTTCTTGTGCCCTGGGGGATCCTAATGTGGGGTGTATGGGCCCTGATAGCAGTATCCCCCTCTGGTGAGGGTACGAGGGTCCTGATAGCAGTGTGCCCCTTTGGTGAGGGTATGAGGCCGGGTCCTGCGAGCAGTGTGCCCCTCTGGTAGGGGTATGGGGGTCCTGATAACAGTGAGACCCTCTGGTAGGTGTATGAGGGTTCTGATAGCAGTGAGCCCCTCTGGTGGAGGTCCTAATAGCAGTGTGCCCCTCTGGTGGAGGTCCTGATATCAGTGTGCCCCTCTGGGTTAGGTCCTGATAGCAGTGAGCCCCTCTGGTTTAGGTCCTGATGGCAGTGTGCCCCTCTGGTTTAGGTCCTGATGGCAGTGTGCCCCTCTGGAGGAGGTCCTGAGTGCAGTGTGCCCCTCTGGTGGAGGTCCTGATAGCAGTGAGCCCTTCTGGTGGAGGTCCTGATAAAAGTGTGCCCCTCTGGTGGAGGTCCTGAGAGCAGTGTGCCCCTCTGGTGGAGATATGAGGGTCCTGATAGCAGTGTGCCCCTCTGGTGGAGATATGAGGGTCCTGATAGCAGTGTGTCCTCTGGTGGAGATATGAGGGTCCTGATAGCAGTGTGCCCCTCTCGTGGAGATATGAGGGTCCTGATAGCAGTGTGCCCCTCTGGTGGAGATATGAGGGTCCTGATAGCAGTGTGCCCCTCTGGTGGAGATATGAGGGTCCTGATAGGAGTGTGCCCCTCTCGTGGAGATATGAGGGTCCTGATAGCAGTGTGCCCCTCTGGTGGAGATATGAGGGTCCTGATAGGAGTGTGCCCCTCTCGTGGAGATATGAGGGTCCTGATAGCAGTGTGCCCCTCTGGTGGAGATATGAGGGTCCTGATAGCAGTGTGCCCCTCTGGTGCCCCGGGGTATGAGGGTCCTGATAGCAGTGTTCCCCTCTGGTGGAGGTCCTGAGAGCAGTGTGCCCCTCTGGTGCCCCGGGGTATGAGGGTCTCTGTCACTCTCCGCTGTTGCTGAATGTTGAGTCCCGGGAAGTGCTGGATCCGATGCTCCTTGTCATCCCACGTGTTGCGAGACCGAGCCCCAAACTTGCTGCCGCCCCCAGCCCACTCCCCAGTCCCAGCCGGGGGGAGACCGAGCGATCGCTGCGAGGAATGGAGCTCCGAGCTCAGCCTGCGGGGACGGCGCTGGCAAGTCACGTGGAGAGCACTAATCCGATTCTATCTCTTTACACTGGGCAAGTCCTGACTGTCTGCCTGCTGGGTCCAGACTGGGGGTCACACTGCCCCACTGGTCACACACTGCCACCATGGGGGGTCACACCTCTGTCAGGGTCCACACTGCCCCCATGGGGGGTCACGCCTCCTGCCAGGGCACTCTCTGCTAGCATGAGGTACACAACTGCTGCAAGGGTCCCTAGTCCCCCATGGGGGTCACACCGCCTATCAGTGTCCATACTGCCACCATGGGGGTCACACATCCTGTCAAGGTCCACACTGCCACCATGGGGGTCACACCTCCTGTCAGGGTCCACACTGCCACCATGGGGGTCACACCTCCTGTCAGGGTCCACACTGCCACCATGGGGGTCACACCTCCTGTCAGGGTCCACACTGCCCCCATGGGGGGTCACACCTCCTGCCAGGGAACTCTCTGCTAGCATGAGATTCACAACTGCTGCAAGGGTCCCTAGTCCCCCATGGGAGTCACACCGCCTGTCAGTGACCTAGTGTCCGCACAGCATGGCACCCAGAGGTCACATCACAGGACCTGGGCAGATATCCTTTATCCCCTTTATACCAATCTCCCTGACTAATTATAGGGCTGCTGACAGGGAAAGGTTAATAATTAACAGTCCTGTGCTATGTGTGCCTATGTGACATCTCACCATCACAGTGTGTCACTTCCACCAGGACGACATGATGCCACCAGGGATAGGTGACCCAGTGAAGAAGTGTCCCCGTTATGAAGAATGGTGGTTTATACACATAAAGAGAAAAAACAGGGTGGTGGTATTATTTGAATAGTTCCAGGAACTTGAAATAAAGTGGTATTTTACAAAAACAAAATATGTATCCTAATATAACACTAAACCTAAATTATATAAAATATTTTATTTACGAAAATGTTGTTTGGCAGTCAGTCCATAAAAAATGGATACAATGTTACATTGTTTGCGAGAAAAGAAAGCGCTTTAACAATAACCCACTGGATTGTTAGATGGTTTGTACTTGAGCAGTTCTCTAACAGGTTGTATGAAGTACTTCCTGTATCCATTGAATACCTTTGCTTCTGATCATTGTCTCCTTAAAGGGACACTCTGCGCTTCAGTTCACCTATTTTAAAAATGTGTAAATAACAAAGAGTCACTTTTAAATACTGCACTTGTTGGAAATCCGCAGGCTGTGCAGCATCTTCAGTGAGCAAACCAGTTTAGCTCAATGCAAGTTATGACTTCTTGCTTAGATTGCATTTAATTGGAGTGATAGGAGTAATGATATTTATAAAAGGTGCAAATTATTTAAAGGGGCCAGGGAGACATTTTATTTAGGAAAAAAGTTAACCATGCCTCTCTATATACCTTCCAAGGAAGAGTGACAGGGCTTCTGATGTGATGATAGCTACTGGTTCTTTAACATCCACAAAATAGAGCAATGTAGTTCTCTTTGTATCTTGTATATCTCCACTAGATGTGTTTTATTACACATACATTCATCTTATAGACTACTTTGTTAAAGTGTATCACCTGTTTCTCTTTACCACTACAAGATATTATATAACAGCACCTGTAATTAAGCCATTGATTGCTCCCCATATATTTTATCTATATGAGGTGGTGGCTAGAATTAGTTTACTAATTAGGAATAGCACATTTAAAGAGACACCTCACTGCCCAATAAATTCCCTCGACAAAACCATGCACGCATTTAATTAAGCATTTTTAATTTGGGGTATTACTAAAAACCACTTGCAAAAATTGCAGATCTTTTGTTTGCAAGCCCCTTCTTCTAACCCGGCCCACGCTTTCTGTGCATGTGCAATCACCACTTTCCAATGCAGTTCAGTGAGAAGTCTTTGCAAGACAGGTGCTCTGGGCAATTTCTGCCTCTTGAGTTCCACTGAGTTCCACTGAGCTAACCAAACCAGGAAGTAACATGACTCAATGTCTTATTGATGGGGGGGGGAGGGGGAGGTAACAAGGTTAATTTATAAAAGTGCCAGTTTCTATTGAAATGTGCACTTTTTCTAAAAAGAGGACACACTCATCACATATAAAGCTCTTTTGCAAGCTAAGGTGCTTTACATTTGTGGATTGGTACTTTAAGTAGACACTGATGTAGAGGCCAAATAGTGCAGATTACAGACCAGCAAAGTTATATTGATTAAAACCAAGAGTTAAGATGAAATGAAGAGTTAAGCCAAATTTTAGGCAAATTGATGGTTATTCTGGTGTAAAATCAAATTCCATTGTGATTTCTCCACATTTCTCAAACAATGAAGACATGCAATATATATTTTATCTCTGCCTGATCCTGGTGGTTTATATACATCCTTATTACAAAACTAATATTTATTAAAAAAAATGGTTACATTATTATTATTATTATGTTATTATTTATATATTGTTACATTTGCTTTGATAACCTTGTTCTCATATTCTAGGAAACATTAGATTGATTCCAATGCTAAATGTGCTTTGTATCTCATCACTCACTGCCTTTGAAGAGGAGAAGAAGCGGATGGTTTTATACCAGAAACAAAGTATTTGAAACACTCTACACTGAAATACAAAGTATGGCAGCAACTGATGCTTCAAAACACCCTTTCAAATATGTCTTATCCACAATAAATAAGCTCTTGTTGCTTTACTGCAAGTGCCAATGTGAAAAAGATGTTAATTAATATATTGAAAAGCCAATTAATGGGGTCTTTGAAAATCAACTCAAAGCCTTGAAATCAAATACTTATGTAGCATCAATGTAGTTAATGTTGATTCATTCCCAGTCTGACATCATCGAATTCAGATTGACAAATACATGAGTACGATCAGTGCCGGACTGGGATAAAAATTCGACCCAGGCATTTAAAGGCAGAGCAGCCCAATTTGAGGGTGTCGGGCAGGAGATTAGGAGTGTTGTGTTATCACCAATGGCACACAGGCTTTTCCGAACACTTCATGTATCACCTCAGCTCATCAGTCTCAGTTAATGAGCTATGCCCTCACTGCCAGTTTTAGCCCAGGCAGGTCATTTCTGGCTGTAGGAATGGCAAGGTAAGAAGTCATACCATTGGCAAAAGGTTTGTACACTTATTACTGCATGCTATAGTATTTATAGTTGGAGTATCCCTTTAATAACACAATTGTTCTGCATTTGCTAGAGATCTCTGTGTCCCTGTAAATGGGTTGTGAGAGGGTGTTGTGTGTGTATGTGTAGAGGCAGACTGTAGTTTTGTATGTGTTTGGTTGCTGCATGTGAGGTTTTGTATGGTGGGTAGGCTGTGTGGTGTGTGGGGAGGCTGTTTGTGGGGTTAGGTTTTTGGGGGTTTCATGTGGGGGAGGCTGCCTATGGGATGGATCTGTTTTAAATGTAGTGTGTGTGTTGCTGGATAGGGGCTTTAGTGTGTCTGTGTGTGGGTGGGATAGGTGGTGGAGTGTGTTTGTGAGGGGTAAGGGGTTTAATGTATCCGTGGGGAAATTAGGTGGTGTAATGTGTCTGTGGAGGGTAGAGTGTTTACTGGAGGATAAATGGTGTAGTGTGTCTCTGAGGTGGGGATAAATGGTGTAGTGTGTCTCTGAGGTGAGGATAAATGGTGTAGTGTGTCTCTGAGGTGAGGATAAATGGTGTAGTGTGTCTCTGAGGGGAGGATAAATGGTGTAGTGTGTCTCTGAGGTGGGGATAAATGGTGTAGTGTGTCTCTGAGGTGAGGATAAATGGTGTAGTGTGTCTCTGAGGTGGGGATAAATGGTGTAGTGTGTCTCTGAGGTGGGGATAAATGGTGTAGTGTGTCTCTGAGGTGAGGATAAATGGTGTAGTGTGTCTCTGACTGAGGTGAGGATAAATGGTGTAGTGTGTCTCTGACTGAGGTGGGCATAAATGGTGTAGTGTGCTGTGGGGGAATGGGGTGTGCTGTGTTTGTGTTGGGGATAGGTTTTGTACTGCATGTGTGTGGGGTTGGGGTTTTAATTTGTCTGTGGAGGAAAAGGGTGTGTATTGCATCTGTGTGGGTGGATAAGGAGTATAGTTTGTCTATGTGGAGATGATAAGGGGTGTAGTGTGTCTGAAGGAGAATGATAGGAGATGTAGTGTGTCTCAAGGAGAATGATAGGAGATGCAGTGAGTCTGAAGGAGAATGATAGGAGATGTAGTGTGTCTGAAGGATAATGATAGGAGATGTAGTGAGTCTGAAGGATAATGATAGGAGATGTAGTGTGTCTTATCGAGAATGATAGGAGATGTAGTGTGTCTCAAGGAGAATGAGAGGAGATGTAGTGTGTCTGAAGGAGAATGATAGGAGAATGATAGGAGAGGTAGTGAGTCTGAAGGAGAATGATAGGAGATGTAGTGTGTCTGAAGGAGAATGATAGGAGATGTAGTGAGACTGAAGGAGAATGATAGATGTAGTGAGTCTGAAGGAGAATGATAGGAGATGTAGTGTGTCTTATGGAGAATGATAGGAGATGTGAGTTTTAAGGAGGATGATAGGAGAGGTAGTAAGCCTGAAGGAGAATGATAGGAGAGGTAGTGAGTCTGAAGGAGAATGATAGGAGAGGTAGTGAGTCTGAAGGAGAATGATAGGAGATGTAGTGTGTCTGAAGGAGAATGATAGATGTAGTGTGTCTTATGGAGAATGATAGGAGATGTAGTGTGTCTTATGGAGAATGATAGGAGATGTAGTGTGTCTGAAGGAGAATGATAGGAGATGTAGTGAGACTGAAGGAGAATGATAGATGTAGTGAGTCTGAAGGAGAATGATAGGAGATGTAGTGTGTCTTATGGAGAATGATAGGAGATGTGAGTTTTAAGGAGGATGATAGGAGAGGTAGTAAGCCTGAAGGAGAATGATAGGAGAGGTAGTGAGTCTGAAGGAGAATGATAGGAGAGGTAGTGAGTCTGAAGGAGAATGATAGGAGAGGTAGTGAGTCTGAAGGAGAATGATAGGAGAGGTAGTGAGTCTGAAGGAGAATGATAGGAGATGTAGTGTGTCTGAAGGAGAATGATAGATGTAGTGAGTCTGAAGGAGGATGATAGGAGATGTAGTGTGTCTTATGGAGAATGATAGGAGATGTGAGTTTTAAGGAGGATGATAGGAGAGGTAGTAAGCCTGAAGGAGAATGATAGGAGAGGTAGTGAGTCTGAAGGAGAATGATAGGAGAGGTAGTGAGTCTGAAGGAGAATGATAGGAGAGGTAGTGAGTCTGAAGGAGAATGATAGGAGAGGTAGTGAGTCTGAAGGAGAATGATAGGAGATGTAGTGTGTCTGAAGGAGAATGATAGATGTAGTGAGTCTGAAGGAGGATGATAGGAGATGTAGTGTGTCTTATGGAGAATGATAGGAGATGTAGTGTGTCTTATGGAGAATGATAGGAGATGTAGTGAGTCTGAAGGAGGATGATAGGAGAGGTAGTAAGCCTGAAGGAGGATGATAGGAGAGGTAGTAAGCCTGAAGGAGGATGATAGGAGAGGTAGTGTGTCTGTAAGAGAATGATAGGAGATGCAGGATGATAGAGGGTGTAGTGTATCTATGAGGAGAGGTAGTATAGTGTGTCTGTTTGGGGGAACTGTATGGTATGTTTGGGGTTTAACCACTTTGGTTTTCTTTAATAATAAAAAAAGAAAGAAGAAAAATATATAGTCTCCCTCCTCTTTGCTCACCTTTGGGCAGGAAGGGGGGAATGATGGTCCAGTCTTTCTCTTTACTTTGTAGCAGGTATAGGTTCTCATTGTGGCTGCCACCAGAAACGTATCCGAAACTTGATGTGGTAACCATGGCAACACTCTGATACATTATCTGCAGCACACAACACAACTTGGTTTGGAACTGCGAGTTGTGCAGACCACATACTCTGATCTACCCTCTCTGCATTAACGGCCTCACCGGCCATGCAGCTCCTTTGGGTAGGGAGATCCTTTGTTCTCTCCTGTATGCCTCATCCTGTGGCCATCGTGGCCCATCAGCATTTGTCTGATATGCCCATCGGCCAGTCTGGACCTGAGTAAAACAACCAAATTTCATCATTATGAGGATGTAGCTAAAATTATCTAAATAGTATATGATGGAAAACTTAAATTGCAATGAAACTCTTCTATTTAGTAAAAAAACAACAACTTATAATTAACATTCTAGTCAGAGCATTTGTGCTTGATGTAAACGCGTCCTAGATTTATTATGTTATTATTTATATAGCGCCAACGAATTCCATAGCGCTTTACAGTGGGTGGACGAACAGACATGTAGTTCAACATCTAAACACTTTGGGTGGCAATTTGTTTTGGCTTGGTTTGTAGGAGCCTCTAATGAGAAGGTCTGTGGACACTTACAATAACACTACCAGCCAGTCCCTGGGTGTATAACACGACTTTTCTGACATTGCAGATAATAACTCTATTCTGAATTGGAAAACCAGGGTTATTATGAAAGGGGAATCGACGTGTTCAATGTTGATTGCAATCAGCTGTGAGGCTCATGTCAAATTACTGTCACTAGATTTTTTTTTTTGCGTTCTTCTGTACAGGAATGTTTTTAATTAAAGATGAACATGAGCTCACATAATGTTGTCCTTTTTTTTTTTTCACAGTCAAGTTGCCAATCTCCCTACTCTTTATTAGAGTTCGTCATGCCAAAGGAAAATAAAGTTTGTGTTTACTCATCCCTGCCATTGATGGAGATTATTCAGCAACCAACTAGCCTTCAAGGGTATATTGAATGTTCTGTCACATGATACGAGCTAATGCAAACAGGTAAAAAAAAAAACAAAATCCTGAAATGTATTAAGCCATTGTTCTCAGCCTGAACCTGCCCTGTCCAATTAACATCGAGATGAGAGCAATGTTACCTAGTGTCCCAATAGCCCCGTCAAGGCAGGAAAGCCCATACTTCAGTAATGGGCCTATCCACGCAGAAAACCCCGCAGGCTAATGGATGTGATTGATTTGTATTTAATAAGAAGTGGTTTACTCTAAGCCTCCCAGAAGCACACACAGGGTTATTCAATAAACTCTGAATTGTAGCACTTTAAAATCCAAATCACAAAATGGTTGATCTGTAACACCAAATCACAAAATGGTTGATCTGTAACATTTTTGAATTCAGTCCCAGCTTTTAGATTTGAATTTTGCATGTATTTTAGTTACATAGTTACATAGCTGAAAAGAGACTTGCGTCCATCAAGTTCAGCCTTCCTCACATATGTTTTTTGCTTTTGATCCAAAAGAAGGCAAAAAAACCCAAACAGTTTGAAGAACTTCCAATTTTGCAACAAACTCGTGAGTAACTGTTACTAGTAGTGCTTGTCTTCCTACTTTTCCTGACATGCGACCACTCTAAAAAATGATTGCACGGTTGGTAATATGGGTAAATGACTGATACAGCTCTAACGTTTACTCTGTGGACCAAACATGTACACCACAATCGCAAACAGTGAGGCGATGAAACAATCACTCATCTTCTTCGTCCTGGCCTTTCGTTCATTTATATCTTATGTATGTATCAAAGACTTGTCAAGCAAGACGCTCTTACTTCCTTGGTTTTGTTAGTGAGTTGTGAATCTAGTCCAGTATTTTCCACCTGCATTTTAGAAGATTACAAATTACACAGCATAATATAGGAGACATTAACCTAGACCTCATATCTCTGGAGAATTGATATTTCCTTTAATGTGATCGTTCTTTGTTCATGAATTGTTTCCTAGAGGATTTGGCTGGTTCCTTATTACCCAGGGTGACCAGATCCACCATGTTTACAGGGACACAAATAATTTAGTTATTTTTATGAAAAGGGTTGCCCTACAGTATGTAAAATGCATATTCTGCAAGATTCTTCATTGCCTAATTGCTTAAAGGACCACTAGAGTCACCCAGACCACTTTAGCTCAATGAAGTGGTCTGGGTGCCAGGTCCCCCAGGTTTTAACCCTTCAGATGTAAACATAGCAGTTTCAGAGAAACTGGTATGTTTACATTGCAGGGTTAATCCAGCCTCTAGTGGCTTTCTTCCTGACAGCCGCTAGAGGTGCTTCTGAATGCGAAAAATCACATTCAGTGTGCAGAACGTCCATAGGAAAGCATTAAGAAATGCTTTCCTATGGGCGGTTTTAATGGGCCGCGCATGCGCATTCCGCCCTACTCGGGAGCTGACGTCGGAGTGGGAGGAGAGGTCACCAGCACCGAGGGAGCACGGCGCTGGATTAAAGTAAGTAGCTGAAGGGGTTTTAATCCCTTCAGCCAAGAGGGAGGGGGGCCCTGAGGGTGGGGGGGACCTAAGGGTTGTATAGTGTCAGGAAAACTAGTTTGTTTTCCTGGCACTATAGGGATCCTTTAATCTTAAAGGCCTCCTTCTGAATTCTACATGCTACAGGGCAACACTTTTCCTGTGCTGCCCATCACAATGTATATATGATATAGTTACATGGGCTGAAAAGAGACTTGTGTCCACCAAGTTCAGCCTTCCTCATATTAGTTTTTTGCTGTTGATCTACAAGAAGGCAAAAAAACACAGTTTGAAGCACTGATTTATCCTTGTCCCAGAAAGAATAGTGTATCTGTTATTACCTTATCTAATGATTTCTGAAAACACATTTTGGCTGCAGACCCACCCCAAGGCTCCATAGTCTTTCTTTGGAAGAAATAGCTCTTAGGAGAAATATCTAGCAACAGAGTAAATCTGGCCTTACCCATCGTGTGAGCACACATGACAATGAAGAGTTTATCTTTCCTTACTGTACATTACTGGAAAATTACAACGGGAATTCTCTAAACAAATTTTATTTTTTTAACGCCTGGTCAAATGAAAGAAAGATTTTTGTGTAGGAATTATAACGGTTGCATATTCTCCTGGGACTTTTGCAATAAATGCTTTGAGCATGAAAATAAAATAAATACAGATGACTTTTCAGGTACCTTTAAATGTAGTTTCGATTTTTCAACTTTTATATAATTACACAGTTTAGTGAATAATCCCCTGGATGCGTTAACGGTGCAACTTTATCTTAATCCATATCCATTGTGGAGTAGATTTGTCAGATGTACTATCGCCCAGCAATTAGCTTGGTGTTTGGCAGCTCATATTACTGTGAGGAATTTGTTGTCTGTGCTTTGGAATTACGTTGCCCACTCACAAAGTTATTAACTAAACTGAGAGGAAATGGGAAGTCAGCAATGTTTGCAGTTTGGGAATTTTGAATTACAAACTGATATTTAATTTTTATTTCCGTTGAATTCCCTGTAATTCACATTTTAGGGACTAATACCGACACACATACATGGAAACGTTACCGGTATATGTTGTTTTACACTGTACATGCAACAAGCTATGCACTAACATCTTCACACACTATACTAACACTAAATCTGCACACCTGCAGTATGTGTATATGGATTGCCTGGCAACAGCATGTGTGGAATGTATCACTGGCAATCTACAATCTAAGGAGAGAATTATATTTTACTGAATGGACTATGCAGTGTGTTGGTTTTTTTTTTTTATTGAAATGTTTTCCAACAATACAAATACAGATTAAATCCACAAACAGGGAAGCAGTAGGCAAGATAGTTAACACGTGGCATTGAGAGAGAAAAATATCCCCGTGAGAGAAACAAATGAAAATGATCTCTTCCAACATATTGCTAAAGTAAGCATGCCCTTATATGAGGACAGACCAAATGTTCCATTGACTTACAGAGCCAGATTGTCACGGCTAAATACACGTTTTCATAGATACACATTCTCAATTTGTGTTACTATATAGGTGCATAGTTGAAGTTAATTACAGACAAGAATCATTTTTCCCAGAATACTTTACCGTACTTAAAGGGACACTCCTAGCAAAATAAAAACACAGTTTATTGTAGGTAGAGAAATAACTGGAAATGTTTCTTAACCCCTTAAGGACACAACTTCAGAAATAAAAGGGAATCATGATGGAATATTTCCGTCATGTGTCCTTAATGGGTTAAGAGACCCGTGCCCTAGCCATAACCCTAAAATAAAAGTGACCCTCTTTAGCCATTTGAACTGTTAGGGGGAAAATGTAGGCGGTTACTTATAGTAGTAGACATTTAAATCTATTTTTAATTCATGATAGAAACACCTAAGCAAATATATATTGCAAACTTGAAAAATAAATGAATAAAATAAATTAAAATTATAAATAATAATTAAAAACAAATAAAAGTATACAATAGTCTTCCACACCGCTTCCTTGTAACATTGTAGACAGGATCTTGTTGAAGGGACACTCTGGACACTGTAACAGCTTCATCTTATTGAAGTGGTTATAGTGTCTCAAAGCCCCTGGTGATGTCCTTACATGGGCTGCTTGGACTAAAGAGGAAGCAATTAGTGGCAGCTCACAATTTCAGCCTATCATGTCCACCATTGATTGTATCACTTGGTATGGCTAGTATTAAAGGAACACTATAGTCCCTAAACAACTTTAGCTTAATGAAGCAGTTTTAGTGTATAGATCATGCCTCTCAGGTTTCACTGCTCAACTCACTGCCATTTAGGAGTTAAATCACTTTGTTTCTGTTTATGCAGCCCTTGTCACACCTCCCCTGGCTCTGATTGACACAGCCTGCATAAAAAAAAAAAAGTTTCACTTTCAATCAGATAACATAGAAACATAGAATGTGACGGCAGATAAGAACCATTCGGCCCATCTAGTCTGCCCAATTTTCGAAATACTTTCATTAGTCCCTGGCCTTATCTTATAGTTAGGATAGCCTTATGCCTATCCCACGCATGCTTAAACTCCTTTACTGTGTTAACCTCTACCACGTCAGCTGGAAGGCTATTCCATGCATCCACTACCCTCTCAGTAAAGTAATACTTCCTGATATTATTTTTAAACCTTTGTCCCTCTATAACCTTAAACAATTGCATCTCTTTCTCTGTAAATTTAACCTTAATCACATTCAAGAGGCTCTTGCAGGGTCTAGCAAACTATTAAGAAAATCTAAATTAAACAGAATTTGCAATAAAGGAAGGCTAAACTGTAGATGACTCTTTTCAGGAAGTGTTTAGGAAGGCTGTGCAAGTCACATGCAGGGAGGTGTGACTAGGGTTCATAAACAAAGTGATTTAACTCCTAAATGGCAGAGGATTGAGCAGTGAGGCTGCAGGGGCATGTTCTATACACCAAAACTGCTTCATTAAGCTAAAGTTGTTTTGGTGACTATAGTGTTCCTTTAAGCACCAGGGAACTCCAAGCACTATAACCAGTTCAGTGAGAAGAAACTGTTTTTGTGCCTAGAGAGTCCCTTTAAGCTTCAAATCCTAAAGTGAGATTAAACATTAATGAATAAATTTAGTTAGTATATTTGTATTGAAATTCATTAATTAATGAGAGATGTCCACAAATTCTTTGACAGCTGTGTATACCTAATTCTGTAACAAGTGTCGAAATCTCATATTGTAATGTTATATCTGGTAATTCATATAGCAATCAATAATAGAAAATGGCATAAAAATGCATAAATGTCCTAGCTATAAAATACTGGAAATAGTGATGAGTGTGCAAACTAAAGATAAAAGGGGTGGGGAATGTACTAACCAGATGCAAAAAAAAAGAAAGGTGAATGATAGTACCATTTAATTCAAAGCTTCAAATATCACTACTGTGGCAAATCGCAAAGAACATTTGTATGGTAAGTTGCATGAAGACAGCACTCTCAAAGAAAATATTACCCTGTATCTTTAACATGCGTATCTAGCGCTAATTTGTGAATATATTTGACAGTATACTTAGAGATAGATTATAGTATTTGATGTATAAATTACTATAATGAATTTATTTTAGTGAAAAATCCAACAAAACTATTAATTCTATCTTAATGCCTGGGGGGTAGTTCTCATTAGGACACTTTACAAGGACACTTTACAGCAATATGGTCAATTTGGGGAGATAGAAATATCTCCCTCAACTGGAACACGCTGTCAGTTGCCAGGAATAAGTATTTTACAGTAAGGCTATGTAATTATCTGATTAAAGAGGTTGTTTTATCAGATCCTGTACATGTTTTTAAACATTGTCTGATTTTTTTTTTTTTTTTTTTTTTTAACCTGAATATTCAACGCTATAATAATTAATATGTCAAGTAAAATCATATTTATCCAAGAAAAAAAAATCATATTGCCATTTTGAAATTTTGCCGTTTTCAGCAAAATTGGAAAACATTTCAAATTTGTGGGGTGCTGTCTTCTTTTGGATCAACAACATTAATGGAAATTTATGAATGGCTGCACTATCTATCTATCTAGCTATCTATCCATCCATCCATCCATCTATCTACGTATCTATCTATTTATTATTATTACTGGTATTTATATAGCGCCAGCATATTCCGTAGAGCTTTACAGTATTATCAAAGAGGGAGATTTAACAATGACTGAGACAATTACAAAAACTTACAGGAACAATAGGTTGAAGAGGGCCCTGCTCAAACGAGCTTACAATATATAGGAGGTGGGGTATAAAACACAACAGAACAGGAGGTAGCAATCAAATAAAGTGGAGTGAAGCGGAGCTGGAGGAGAGAATAGAGTGCTGCCCTTTAGGAGAGAGCAAGAGACTATCTATTTATTATTTTTATTATTATTGGCATTTATATAGCACCAACTTATTTTCAATATTAGAAAAAGGGGGACATATAACAATAAATGAAACAATTACAAAATGTTGCAAAAACAATAGGTTGATAGGGACTCTGCTCAAAGAAGCTTACAGTCTAGAGTATCTATCTATCTAATCTGTCTATTTGTCTGTATATCTATCTATCTATCTATCTAATCTAATCTATATGTGTATCTGTCTATCTATTCAAGCAAGTCCAGTTTCTACGTGGTGGAATATTAAAGCAGTTCAGTTTTTACAAAGATAATTTTTTTATTAAAAAATAAATAAAAATTGGCTGAAATTCCAGTGCAATCAGCAAATATAAGGCAAAATAAGAACCCGTTTGTCTCATGTATTTCTAGACTGTAAGCTCTTACGAGCAGGGTTCTCATCAACCTATTGTCCCTGTAACAATAATAATGTTTGGCAATTGGCAGAAATTCCACCATTACAAGCGTTGGACACTGCCATTGGAGGTGATAGCTGATGTGCCATCGATGCCAATGGGATTTTATTGCACATTTACAAGAAGCTCTATAGTGGGACCACAGTCTTGCAACATCTTCCACAGACCACTGCTTTGTCCCTCCATCTATTTCCAAGGTTAATTTCTATGGTAATAATGTATCACTTCAGCCGGCTATAGTGTTGATGCAGATTCTCGAAGCTACGTTAAAATTAGAATATTAATAACAGCATTCAGAATCATAAAAGCATAAACAAATCACATTCTATTTTGAGTAAGAGTAGTGAACAACATATGTTCAGGTGAACAAAGAATTAAAAGCATACCTTGGATGTAAAAACATGAACTTAACAATCCAAACCTGACAGATGTGATCACATCTGCTGCTAATTAGCTAATTGTCCAGAAACGTTCACAGAAGCACATTGTTTACATTAGACACAGGACAGCGAGCTTATCTATGGTACAGTAAATAAAATAAAAAATATAGCAAATTTCTGATCCACAACAATCAATATATTATAGAAAAAACTGGTTGTGCTCTGGGTGATATTTGTGGGACAGTAGTTGGAATATATGAGGTAATATGGTCCAGTTCGCCATTGGCGAATGAAAATTTAGTCTTGGCTATTAGAAATGTCCCTGTGCTGAGTGCAATAAGACTTGACTGGGGAGTAATTTTTTAAAGGAACTCTATAGTGTCAGGTTTTCAAACATGTATTCCTGACACTATAGACTGATGTGGCATTTTAGGTGACTGGCCTCTCTCTAATTTAAATGATTTTAGTCACATTTTCTCCATTGCTGCTCCAGTGTAACCCCGGCTGGCCCCGCCTCCATGGCTGAGATTATCATTCTTGATGACATCAGCCAATCCAATGATTTCTCAAAGGAAAGCATTAGGAGGCTATTGTGCATGCGCAGCAAAACTCCATTCTGAGCCAATTAGCATTTTCTCATAAAGATGCATTGAATCAATGGGAACGTTCAGCGTCTCCTTGCAGAGTGTTTTGCCTTTTGAAAAATCAGCCAATTGTCTGAGTCATTTTTAAATGTTGGCGCTCACTGCAGAAAATGTAAACGTCTGAGCTTAAATGCGATTATTGTTTTTTCTTTTTTTCAGAATGGGTCACATCCAGTCTGGTTTATCCTTTAAACACATTTGTGAGGAACGCAATTGCAAAGGCAATCACAACAAAACACAAATACGTGCTGCGTAATGATCTTCATAAGAGTATTGAGTACTTTGCTGCTAGATTAGAGATTGACAGTAGACATCCTCATCAATAATCTCTGCTAATTAGTGAAATTTAACAACCGCATATGGCTTTCACATTGATCCAGCTTTCTGTATAACAGTGCGCTGATAGATTTCTTTTAAATAAATAAACAATGGCTCAGCATTCCTGTATGTTAATGTACTGTATCTTGGAGTCAGACATCCATTTCCTAAATGTCTGATGTAAGAAAATAGCTGCTCCCTCCATATACTTTAGACCTAATAATCACACATCATGATTTCAACTTACGACATCAGCAGAATAACTGCTGTCAATCCATCAATGTAGTGTGGGAAATGTTGTTACATTGTAATGGTTGATACCAGAACCTTGATTTATTGGGTGGGCAAAGGGTTAAATTATTGTCTATCAGCCTATCTCTAATTGCTGAATGGGAGATCACCTTTGCTGATGGCTGCAATCAAAAATCTCTCTTAATCTTCCTGTGTTGAATGCTAGCGAAGGTCTGATCACAGTTTAGATATTCCACATCTTGCTGACATTTGGTTGCAGGTTGATGGAGCAAGTTGTGACAGCACGTGTTATTAAAGCTAAAGGCGTAGAATCTGAGGCAGCTGCCTGCGGTAATTCATTGTAAAGAGATCTTCAATGACTTCCTTAATTTAAATTTTTTTTTTTTTTTTAATTGCTGTACTTTTAAATCTCTATAACTAACTGCCAGTTATGCATGAAATGTAAACAGTTAGGTCATAAAAAACCAGGACTGTGGAATCTGAATCAGGCCAGTTGGAAAGGCTAGTCATTAGCAGACTTGTGCAAATCTTAGTTTTGTCAGAATAAAATTCTACTTAATGAATACGACTCCACAGGTAATTCCAGGGTGAATTAGATTCAGGTGGGGATTAAAAGGAATTTGATTCGGATGAACATGCTCAAACTACTTTTTGCACAAGCCTAATCATTAGTACTGCTATTGGTAAGCTAAGAACGCTGCATAATATATTGGTGCTATAAATGCTAGGAATCATAATTTGGATAAAAAAACAAATGTACCCATTATTGTAACTTCCAACACAAAATTAATCTAGAGCTACGTATCCACTTCTTTTTAAAAGCAAAAATTTTTTTATGTAATGTTATATTACACAACAAAAATTACCTTTTCAAAAAGGACATCAACAATCGAACCAATATCACAAAGCACATAGTTATTATCAAGAATGCCCGTCTCGTTCCCTGTACCACCAGTACATGCAACAATGCTCACTCCCACACCACTCTGATTACTCTAACGTGCAGTAAGTATACATCTCTCTATGTTTTTTTTATTTTGTACTTATAATGGGTTTAGCGGTGGCTCGGATTTGCATGCTGGCTTATATTAAATCCTTACTCTTATACAGAGCGTATAAATCATTATTATTACTGTAAATGCTTTCTGTTACATTTAGTTAATTTAATACAATAATACATTTGCATACTTGAGGCCATTTATTCTGTTTTGTTTTTCCTAATGAGATTTCAATGAAATGTATACAAAATTCTGCAGTGCTTAGTTCAGTAGAGCTAATGGAACTTCCTACCCCAAGAAAGATGAAGAAAAAAACATTAGAAAATAATTTGACTACTTTTTTTCTGTGGCACCAGGTGACTCCTGGCACCATAACCACTACAGTGTGTTGTAATTGTTATAGACTTTGGAGTGTTCCTCTAAGCAACAAAAAGGTAGTTGGTGATCAGCTATGAAAAACTTGCAATTTGTTCTGAAATGAATCTCCAGGTCTAATTTTCACAATTCCTAGCTATTTAAAGAATGAAATGGACCTAGCAGTTGGGGGACGTTGTGGCTGTTGATTGATCTGTAACTCCTGGAGTCCAAGTCTAATGCTACAAGGAAGCTAGACATTGATGCACTGGGTGGTATAGACCTATTTTTTTGCTTGCTCATAATGGACATTTCATTACAGACTGTAGATGTTGGTATTTGATATTATATCCCAATATTTACCAATAAACACGGAACACATAATTGGGGAACAGAAAATAAATCTGAGCTACCTAGTGCTCAACTATAATTTGACCTAATTCAACCTTTTCTTCCTACCTAGCTACCTACCTGATCTCTTTAAAAGTGAACAAAAGAGGGATGGAGATGGCAAATTAAAAGTGTGTGTGTGTGTGCACTGGTTTGTGTGTGTGTGCAGGTCTACGTGTCAAATTAAGCATGCATGCATGTATGTATGTATATGTGTATGTTTAGGTGTGGTAGAAATTGTATATTAGCGTATGTGTGTAAGCATCATTTTTTAATTTGCTTGGCTGAATCTATATGAACAGATGATTAAAATCAATTAAGCAACAATGAACACACCTGTTAGCTTGGAGCTGTGCCTACTGATATATAGCCCCTACTGTGATTACTGAAAATAAAAACATGGTAATATGTACTGTCATAAATCACACGAACAAATCAATTCACAGACAAAGGTTTGCAACAAAGTAGCATTATTGTCCATCTCCTCTGCCACAAACAATGGTCGAACTAGTGATGGAGATTCAACTCAGCCTGACAAAAAATGTGCCGATGATTTTACATTTACTCACACTAATATTGTTTTAATACATTGTAAATTATGAAACAAAAACTCTTATCAAAGGAACACACATGGTACAATGGAATCTATTGCCGTTTTCAAAACACATTAATAATTATTATTTTCATCAGTTTCCCACCCCTTACTCAACAAAATGTTAAGGGAATTAAAATATCCAAACATAATTCGGGACTTTAGGGGAAAAAAAAGACTTTACCCTTTTATTCAGGGTCACTTAATGCAGTAAAAACAAGCAGAAATAGAGGGACAAACATAATTCATTTTAAAACAAGACATGCAAAGTAATAGATCCACTTTAAGATCATGATGAGGTGGTACATGACTCCTCTAAAGTTGCGTAGTGTGTGGGGAACTCCTTCAGGCCTCTGTTGATAGAACTGTGACAGTAAAGGAACATATAAACTCATGTGGTGGGATCAGGGCCGCCATCAGGGGGTGACAACCATAACGGTTGTCACGGGCCCGGCGGCACTGGGGGGCCCGGCTGACCGGGCCCCATATGTAGCGGCGCCCGCATGCTGATGGGGCCCATCGGGTGGCCCTCGCAGTTAGGGCCACCCGATGGGCCCCATATCTTCAGGGGCCCGGTCAGCGCTGTGACGTGGTATAGCGCGACCGGGCCCCATTAAAAAAAAAAAATGCTGCCGCAGCGCAAATGCTGCTGGGAGGAAGTGGTCACTCCGCGCGGGAGGAGCGCACGCCCAGCAATGAAGAGGGAGAGCCAGCAGACTTCCAGTCCCATCAGCCCCAGCCACCCTCCTGCAAAGACAAGGTAAGAGACAGGAGGGTGGCTGGAAAATGAGCTGTGTGTGTGTGTGTATGAATGTCAGTGTATGTATGTCTGTCTGTATGAATGTGTGTATGCCAGTATGAATGTATGTCTGTATGTCATTATGAATGTGTATGTATGGATGTCAGTGTCTGTATGAATGTATGTATGTATGTGTGTACGCCAGTATGTATGTATGTATGTATGTCTGTATGCATGTCTTTGTCTGTATGCATGTCATTATGTGTGTATGAATGTCAGTGTATGTATATGTGCATGTCATTATGAATGTATGTATGTATGCCAGTATGAATGTATGTCATTATGAATGTGTCTGTATGTCCTTATGCATGTGTCTGTATGTCCTTATGCATGTGTGCATCTCATCCTCCGCAATATCGGTCTACAAGATACTGCTTTCTCCTGGTGCTTCTCCTACCTCTCCCAGCACTCTTTCAGTGTTTCTTTCTCTGGCTCTGCTTCTTCTCCCCAACTCCTCTCTGTTGGTGTCCCCCAAGGTTCAGTCATTGGTCCCCTACTGTTCTCCATCTATACTGCCTCCCTTGGTAAACTCATTAGCTCCTTTGGATTCCAATATCATTTCTATGCAGATGACACGCAAATCTACTTGTCCTCTCCTGATCTCTCCCTGTCCCTCTTGACTAGTGTCTCTGACTGCCTCTCTGCTGTTTCTTACTGGATGGCTGCCCACTTCCTTAAACTAAACTTGACCAAAACTGAAATTCTGGTCTTTTCTCCCTCAAGTGTTGTTACTCCTGTGTCTGTCTCCCTCCAAGTCAACGGTGCTACCATCAGCTCCACCACGCAGGCTCGCTGCCTAGGTGTTCTCTTTGACTCCGACCTCTCCTTCAAGCCTCATGTTCAATTTATCGCCAAATCCTGTCATTTCCATCTAAAGAACATTGCGCGCATCCTTTCTCCTTTCAAGGTGTTGGTCCATTCCACTGTCCTTTCTCGCCTTGACTACTGTAATCCACTTCTCAGTGGTCTTACGTGCTCCCAACTTGCGCCGTTACAGTCCATAATGAATGCGGCGGCAAGGCTCATCTTCCTGTCCGCCCGCACCTCCCATGCCTCACCCTTCTGTCAGTCCCTACATTGGCTTCCTATAAAATATAGAGCTCAATTTAAAATTCTGGTTCTTGCTTTCAAATCTCTACATAATGCTGCTCCCACCTATCTATCCTCCCTTATACACAAGTATGTCCCGTCTAGGTCCTTACGATCTGCTGAAGACTTACATCTATCTTCTGTCCGTACTCCCACCTCTGATGCTTGCCTTCAAGATTTCTCGAGGGCTGCACCGTTCCTGTGGAACTCGCTTCCCTCCTCCGTTAGATGCTCACCCAGTCTCCACGCCTTCAAAAAATCGTTAAAAACCCACTTCTTCATAAAAGCGTATCAATTAAACTGTTAATAGCTCCTGACTGATTCCTCTTCTGCAACTTTCATTAGTCTATTACTATCCTTACCTTTTTGTGTCATTTTACCCCACTCCCTCTAGCATGTAAGCTCGTTGAGCAGGGCCCTCAACCCCTCTGTTCCTGTGTGTCCAACTTGTCTGGTTACAACTACATGTCTGTTCGTCCACCGATTGTAAAGCGCTGCAGAATTTGACGGCGCTCTATAAATCTCATAATAATAATGTGTCTGTATGTATGTTAGTATGTGTCTGTCACTATGTACGCCTGTGTGTCTGTATATGTGTGTATGTCTCAGTATGTGTGTGTCAGTATGCATGCCTATGTGCGTATCAGTATGTGTGTCTGTTAGTATGTATCAGTGTGTGTGTATCTGTGTCCTTTTGTATCAGTGAATGTGTGTGTGTATTCCTGTGGGTGGGATTTGGAGGCGGTTTCTGTGTGTGGTTTTGGAGGCGGGCCCCCAGGGGCCCAGACCCTGAGCTCAGTTAGGGGCCCCAAATTTCTGGTGGCGGCCCTGGGTGGGATTGTCCCAGAGTGATCACTTTTTGGAATAGTATCTAATGTATTACCCAGACCATTCCACCTAGACCTATGTGGTCTTATCTTTTGTCTAGACCTATTTAATGCCTTCTCTTAAAGGACAACTGTAACCTCAAATATATATATTTTTAAATAAGATAACACTTTCATTGAGTATTAAAATGAAATAGATTTTATTTTAATAAAGTGTATGGCAAAGTTTTTTTTAGAAAAATGCATCCCTACCTTTAGTATATGATAGGATCCTTTGTTAATATGCAAGCACCTTTGTTCTAATAGTGTTTGAAAACAGACAATGTCTACAGTCTTCCCTGTTTCACACCAAAAGTATAATGCTGAAGGATCCTTATGATGCTTCTCTGACTCCAGAGACCAGCCATCGACTATTCTGACCAGTCTGGACAAATTGTTTGCAGACGTCTGGACCAAGTTCCACCATTGATTACACCCCTATCCCTCCTGAGAATTGGGTACCAAATGTTCCTTCTAAGCACGTAGGGAGGCCTTTCCACACGAGGGTGCATCCCTACACACAATAGTGGAGGCCACGAAAATTGCTGCCCCTCCTGCCTGTTAGAACAGAGACCACACGTGGCTATTACTCTAATCTCAGAGGGCCACAGTTTCATACCTACCTGGCAATCAGAGTTGTATCTTAGCAGCAGTCGCCACCTCAGCCTGTGAGCCCCTTCAAACATCCCTGTCTGTTTGCACAATTACTTAGACCTCGACCTATGGTAGTTGGCCTTCTTAATAATGTCAGGGACTGCCTTTGGAGGGAAACAGTTAACTACAGATCCGCGTTAGGGACTATATATCCAACATCCCGCCACTTGATCCTGTTTCCACTGGGCCACACAACAGCAGCCAAGTCACTCAGATTTGATTACATTTCTTTCTGTTTATTTGTATTTTGTGCTCTGAACAATCAATATTCGTCTTACTATTACCTTGAAAAAAAATGTGCAGCTTACTACGTGTCTGATAGTCTGACAAGCTCATTACGCTAACCTTTGCTGTTTTGACAATGCCTGCAAAAGTATCTCTGCATAACAAATATAAATTTTTTTAAAATTTTTTTTTTATTTCCTTTCAATATTTTATTAAAAATATTTTGGATTGACAGTTGCCATTTAAGCTCAATAAAATTACTTTAGCTGCATGAAGGACCCTGGCGGCAAAGTGGTTAAAAACTAACCTTTAGCAAATCTTCTGATGATTTAATGGGACACGCTAAGCATTATAACCATTAAAGCCTAGAATTTTGTGTCATGCTATTTTTGCGGAGCTCGACACAAGCATAGCACACAAATGAACATGTGGCCTGCCCCTATACTCGGCATTTTGCTAATGTAGAAGTTATGAGGAGAGTCCTACCGTCAAAAAATCTTCCCCACAACCTTTTTAATAAATGTGCTTTAAAGTGGCTTTCCAAAAACAAACTAGTATCACTGTGCATTCACAGCCTTCATGTAGAGCAGGGGTAGGCAACTTTCAACGTTTCAGATATTGTGGACTACATCTCCCATTATGCTTTGCCAGTATTATGGCTGTAAGAGCACTATGAGAGATGTAGTCCACAACATCTGGAGTTCCAAAGGTTACCTACCCCTGCCATAGAGAGCTATGGACACTCTGTAAGAAATTTACCGCCTAGATGTGCATAGGAATGTTTTCTTCTTTGTAGGAATTTAACTTTATAAATATAGTTTATCTTAGAGTGACATTCGGTGAGTCCGAGAACCCATCAGCACACTATTCAGGATATCTTTTAAGCTCAGCAACATAAAATGCGTGGCTTAAAATCAATCCTTTTAATGTGACATTTTGCACTGTCTCACACAGTTTAATGTCATGTTGGCTCCATTCTCCACAGGAAATCAAACACACGCGCTCTGCTATCAGACTCTGCCATCTCTACTTTCTAATAACAGAAATTGATTTCAGGTTTGTAATAAATAACCAGCGTTTTATCTACAAAGACATTTCATAGCATGGAGTGCTTGATTATGTGGAAGACTAACGCAGTTTATAACTGAAAGCCAGTTTATCAAATGTTCTGTCTATCATTAAATGCTGTGGTAATGGTGTATAAAGCCAGCTATTATAAACGGAGTCTTTTCACAGTGGTTTCTAGTAAATGATTTTTGTCGGATGGCGATTATTTAGCACTTTAATAATGGTTTTCGAGCATTACTATACTTGTGACTGAAAAAAATAAATATTCAGCGATTTAAATATACAAATGCAGAATAAAAAGGAAAGCTTACTTTATCCTCTTGCAATATATAATTTAATGTATGACAGCAAATGCATGTCTCCCATAACGTAAAAATCTATAACCCGTAAGTGTACATGTGTAGGAAAGGTCTTCACTAAATCGGGAACTTGGGAGGAATGACTAGGGGAAATTATAAGACAAAATAGAGGAATTTAAAAGTAAAATCTCCACGTCTGTTTTCTTAGAGAATAGAACACCATAGTGTTAAGAGTACATGTTTGTGTTCCAAATGCTATAGTGATCTTTAATACAGAGTGTTTGCTAGAGGGATGAGAGCCTAGAGCAAACTGTCTTTGTAATTTATCAATACTTACTGCATTTATTCACTTCCTCCTAAAAGCAGCCCTAATAATTTAATATGAATGCTCTCATTTAATCGCATACATTCACAAGTACAAAACATGCATTTTCACTTATAAAGAAGAAAGGAAATATGCCCAGCTGTAAAAGATAATAAAATAAGATACATCAACCCACTGTATTTATTGGTATGGTGATGATCTGTTTAATGCCTTTTGCAAAACCTCTTACAGTGAAAGACTGATTAGTATCATGACATTTTATATTAATTGTTTGTGATGTCTGAAAGAGATGTCTTAAAACGTTGCACTTTAACAGGATATTTAAAATGGGTTCAAACTGTAATCTGAATGACAAAACGGAAGCTGAAATAGCAGGTATTGAAAGGATTCCAGCTCATTTTAGTCCCAGCGAGTCTATGTTAGCCTTGGTTTTACAATTCAGGGCTATTCAATAAAGGCACTTGTGTACATGTCAGGTGACATGATGGAATTCTAATGCATCGCCTGCTTGCTCAACCCCCCACCAAAAAACAAACAGAAAAGGCTGAGTTTATTGAAATGTTTAACTGGATATTGCAGGCATAAAAACATATTAAAAATATATATTAATATTTTTCAAATGCATATTATACATGATATGTATG